TTTTATTTTTGAGGAGTGGTGCTGTAGGAATTGAACCCAGGCAGCATATGCTAGGCAAGTAAGTGCTCTCCCACTGAGCTATACCCCAGCCCTCTTTTCATTTTATTTTGAGACAGGTTATCTCTAAGTTGCCCAGGAAGGATTCAAACTTGAAGCCTTAGTCTCTCCAAATCTGAGATTTCAGGTGTGTGCCATCAGGCCTGACAGCTTTATTTTTTCTGTGTTGAAGTATAATAACAATACATTTGCTTAAAGAAAACAAAAGCAACAACAACAACAAAAACCCCACCTGAGTGACATATAAGTACAAAGAAAAATGATGATAATTCTACTATCAATGTGTACAATCTTGTTAAACATCCACAAGTTTTTTAAAAGTCACATCTCAAAACAATTGGATCTACGGTAACTCTTCTTTAACTAGCTATATGTCAGCTTCATAATTCCTACAAATTATTCTAAATTAAATAGTACCTTATAATATGGGTGTTTTCTTAATAAATACCCCTTAGAAAATCTTATATTCTTTAAGTTTTGATTATTACATTTAAATTTGTAGAAATGAAATTATTTCTAATTAATGATTTTTATAGAAGTTTTAGATTTTAAAATTAAGCAAACAATAGAGACCATCTCTGAGTTGCCTTCTGAGACAGAAGGAAATAATGAATCTTGCTGACCTTCTTTTAAAAGACAACTATATAGCCTTGCAAATGCATTTTCCAAATTCATACCTGATCTCAAAATGTGGATCCTAAAATTTCCCATATTAGCCCCTCATTTTGTAATTATTAATATTTTGCATTTATAAGACAGTGTACTTATTATAAATGACATATATATGTGTGTGTGTCTATATATATACATATACACTATATATATGCTATATATATATATATCTCTCTCTATATATATATATATATACATACACACATATACACTACCAAAATGTGTGTGTGTGTGTGTGTGTGTATCTATATATATAGATATATATATATTGTTTTTTGGTGGTCCTGGAGCTAGAGCCTTGGGGACTTGTACATTCTAGGCAAGTACTCCACCACAAATAAAAAGATATGGATATACTTCTATTAATCTAAATTATATGTGTGTGTGTGTGTGTGTGTGTGTGTATGTATGTATGTGTGTGTATATAAAACACCAAAATGTGAATAAAGATACTATAAAAATTGTGTACAGGCTTTTTTGGACATGTTCATGCATTTGGGTCAATTCCTAGGAACACATTGCTGGGTTATGTGATAAGGTTATGTTTAGTTTTGTGGGAAACTAAAATATTGTCTTCAGGAGTGGAGCATCCCTACCAAAGAATGTGTATTCCTGTTGCTCCACATCCTCACTCAGTGTTTTGTATTGTCAGATTTTTTTAACTTAAGCATTCTAATAGGTGTATCTCATTGTTATATTGACTTAACAATTCCCTAACTACAAGCATGTTTAGCTCTTTTTGTATACTTGTTTGCCACCTGTGTATCTTCTTGAGTTGTTTATTTAGATTTTTTGCCCTTTATTTTATTTATTCTCCCCTCACTCCTTTAGATCATAGCTCTTTGCACTGTCATCCCTACCATTACTCCTGTCATAATTCATGGCTATTTTAATAGCTACACAGAGGCATGTTATGGTTCCTTGCCTTCTTCTCTGACGTACTTATGCACTAGCTTTTCTCACCATATATACCATGTCCTGCCCTCTGCCAGGACAGATACCAGCAACTGTCATTCTTAAGTTGTACTTTTGTACTCCTAGCACTACAAAGTCAGTAATCCTATGACTCCACTGGGACTGAAAATCCCATAGGTCTTTTAGTGTCCATCTTTCTTTTCACATGTCACTTCCATGACCCTCTCCCACTCACTTTACAGTATTTATCCAGCTAAATGTGGTTAAAACTGTGTATTCCTTTCCTGTATCCATGCAGCCGAGTGTAGAGGGATATACCCCACTCATCCACAATGACTGGTATCACTTGAGATTGAGATCCATTAACCTCATATGGGCTCTTAGTGCTTTCAGCAGCATACTGGATTTCCCTATTCCATTTACTCTCCCACTATCCTTTCCTGTTCTAAGACATATGTATTTAGTTGTCATGTCTCCAAGATGACTCTTGGCTGTGACGATTTGAGGAGTACTGGTCAGGGAAGATATCATACTTTGTAGGATTACCCCTTTAATGAAATGTGTCTGACTTTTTTTTTTTAAGGTTATATCAAAATAATGGGTTTTGGGGAGAAAATCACAAATTTTTCTTTCTGTTTCTTTTTTTGCAGTACTGGGGATTGAACCCAAAATTGCTCTAACACCGAGTTACAGCTCTAGCTCTTTTTATTTTCGATTTTAAGATAGGGTCTTACTACGTTGCTGAGGCTAGCCTCCAACTTGTGACCCTCTTGCCTCAGCCTCCCAAATAGCTGGGCTGTGATGCCTGGAAACAGTACTGTTTGCATTACATCATACTAAAGGTACCTATTAGCAACATGGTTTATGACTGCTGATGTTGACCTAATCACCTGGCCAAGGGCTTGTTAACTTCTCCCACTGTGAAGTTCCTCATCCCTTCCCATACTGTGTTCTCTGGAAGTCACTATGTGCAGTCCATTCTTGAGTTATGCTCTACTTCCTGCAGGTGGAGTAGTCACATAAACTTAGAATTCTTCTACATAGGTCTCTTCTCTCAAATTTATTTATTCAATCATTTATGTCAGCATAGATTCATAAATATTTATTTTAAATTTCAAGTTTTAATTCCTTACTACTTTATTTTGTCATTCCAATTGTCCCAGTTTTGGTTATTG